ATTGTGGCTGTTTCCTTTGCTTCTTTATATACACGTTACAGTTTGTGCTCAGGGGCGTCACTTGCTGATTCCCCTCAAGGTCTAGCTAGCTCCCCCCCCCCCGGCATACTACCACGATTTTTTTATAACTCTGGTCGTAGTCTAGAAATGCTCCTACAATAGCTCACATTTCACAAATTTTCGAGGGAGGGAGGGGTGGGGGTCGCAGTGCCCAAGAAACTAACCGTGTTCAGTTCGCTTGCTAACCTAGCCCCGCCCAACAAAAAAAAAAAAAAAACTGAAATGACGCCTCTGCTCCTTACCTTTGCTTGCTGCTGATTGGTTTTCATAATGAGATGTTGTTTGTGGGCTCCTTATAGCCAGTACCTAGTGTACATATGCGTGTGCAAGTATGTGTGTGTGTGTATTTACATACATACATGCATACACACACACACACATATGTGTGTTTGTACAAACACACACACACTTAGCCCACCTTGGTCGTGATCATCCCCTCCACATACGAGGAAGCGGCTCCAGGAACTGGCTCTTCATAGGGCCCGGACCGGTCATCATTATCCTCTCCTCTAGGGGCGCCTTTTTCTCCGAGAGGAACACTGCCTTCAGGTGGTTCAAGCAGCTCTCCCCCGCCAGCCTGGCGAAGCGGTTCTGGGACTGGCCCGTGCCTGTTAGCCACGCCGAACGTCTTGTCGAACAAGACCTCGAACGAGGCCTGCGTTCACACGGCTAGGATGTGGTGGTCTCTTTGGATCACGAGGAAGCCGTACGTGGCGTCCTCGCTGTACTCCACCTTCTGCGTAGGCGCGGCTTGCGCTGGAACCTTCCTCCTCGGCGACAGGTCGGCAGTGTGGTCCTGCTCCTCAATCTCGCGCTTGGGGGCGGGGTCTTTACGGCCGCACGTCTGGAGGACCTCCAAGATGCTGAGGGCCATTCCGAAGAGAGATTCCTTGTCCTGGCCCACTCCGAAGTTCTTCCTGAACGAAGGAATGTCGGCCGACTTGAGCTCAACGCCCTAGCGGTCCTGCAGTCGCAGTTCGTCGGCGATCCCGGGGGTAATGGCAGCCTCGAAACTCTCCCCGAACTTGTTGAGGCCCTTGCTGGCTCCTCGAGGCTGAGCACGAGCTTCTCGCGGATAAGCTTATCCTTGAAGGACAATGCCATCGCTACGAAGATTTTAGATTGCTTGTTCTGGGACAACAAGCGGTGCTTTCACAGATAGTACAAGAGCGCTTGTTGTCTCTAAGCGCGTCAATGTTAGTGGCAGATCAAGGACATAGGCGCCTAATTGTCAGTTTCTGATAATTTTGCTTATCTGTGTCATATTTTTGCATCTGCAAGTAAGAAATTTAACAATTCTAATATTTGCCATTTCTCTTTTTTATCCGAATTTCGGCTGTGATCTCCTTATTTATGTTCACTAATATGTATGTGTATATATACATATATATATATATATATATATATATATATATATATATATATATATATATATATATATATAAGCGCCCGTCATATCATATATGAAACACTTGAAAAGCAAGCAAAACAATTAGAAATATCTTAAGAAATACAATTCCTTTGGAGTTTGTCTTTGCCTCGGCGCTATTTTGTTTCAAAATCTGCCAATAAAACGCGGGAAACCAACGGAAATGTCTTATAGATACAAAATTTTAACGAAATATTAGTATTGAAACCAAGTTAGAAGTGTGTGTTTTTATAAACCCAATATCGATCTGTTAATAAGGAAAAAATATCGAAAATGAGAAAGAACCATACAAAATGCAAATGAGAGAGAGAAGGCGAGAAAAAAGAGAGACGACGAGATAGAATGCGAAATCAGAGAATAAGAGAGGAGAGTTGATAAGAAAAAAAACATATATTTTTTTCGAAACCATATGAATTAATACAAGATGCAAATGAGAGAGAGAGAAGGCAAGAATAAGAAAAAAATGAGAAACGACGAGATATAATACGAATTGGGAATAAGAGACAGAATAAGAGAGAAGGAGAGATGATTAGAAAAAAAAACGAGAGAAAATAGAACAAATTCTGAAAAGATGACAGCATAAAAACTGGACTTTGGAAACTAGATGTTATATTTTCGAATCATTAGTACGAATTTAAAGTTTTTTTTTGTTTCATTTGTCTTTTTTTTATCGAATATGATGGTTGTTTGTATTCGAGTTACCAAAGGGGATTATCAGGAACTCCCTTGAAAAAAAATATATAGATACAAAAATGAATAACTTTTTTATTATTTATGTTACACGATATTTATAAAAAAAAAATATATATATAATATATATATATATATATATATAAATATATACATATATATATACGAGCGCGCGCTGCAACACACACACACACACACACACACACACACACACACACACACACACACACACATACACACACATATATCACACACACACACACACACACACACACACACACACACACACACACACACACACACACACACACACACACACACACCACACACACACACACACACACACACACACACACGCACGCACGCACACGCATATTATATATATATATATATATATATATATATATATATATATATATATATAACAAATAAATACAATCAACATGTACCTGTACTTGCCATTCAATCGCGATGGTGCACTTGGTCAAGGCAATAGATGCATTTACAGATATACCTATATCCGTAAACGGACAACTGAAGAGATAAAGGAATGATCCGATAAAAGAGATGATACGAAAAAAGTGACGTACGTAGGAAAGAGAGAATTAATTAGAATTAGAATTATAATGTGGTTTTAATTTCCTTTGTTACAATGGACATTCTTTGTTGTGACATATTGTCTCTTTATTTCCTGCTAAATTACCCCTTCAGTGCAAGGAATGTCTGGGGTTGCCATCCACTGGCAGCGCGCGGATTGAACGCTGGTCAGCAAGACTGCGAGACGAAAACATTAACGTTGCACCACATAGTAGGATAAAGGAAGTGAATTTGAGACTGAAAGAAGATGGAAAAAGAAAAGCCAAGAGAGGGAGATAACGAAAAAATAAACAGGTCGTGTCTAAGAAGAGGACAAAGATAAAAAAAAGGAGAAACAGACGGTAAAAAGGGAGACAGAGAGAAAGAGCACACCCTTATGAAACCACCTTTGAGCAATCACCCCTCTCGCTTTCCGCCATACGCCACCCACCGTCGTTCAGGTCGCATCCCGCCTCGATGGCCGCTGCGTCAGATGAGGAAAGGGCGGGGCGCTTAGGGACACACCGGCTGCGAGGGGATAAGCGCCCTTTCCTGGTAATTAACGCCTTTGTAGACTGCTGTAGATGAGGCTCTTGGCCTGTGGATATCTTGCCTGCTTGGAAGTCATGGCGCAGCTGCTTCGTCTGCCTTCGGTGCTCTGTTGGCACACACACATGGATTTGTGTGTGAGAGGGTGTCCGTGTCTGTGTGGGCGTGTGTGTATGTGTGTGTGTGTGTGAGAGAGGGTGTCCGTGTCTGTGTGTGCGTGTGTGTATGTGTGAGTGTGTGTGTGTGTGAGAGGGTGTCCGTGTCTGTGTGTGCGTGTGTATGTGTGTGTGTGTGTGTGTGTGTGGTGTGTGTGTGTGTGTGTGTGTGGTGTGTGTGTGTGTGTGTGTGTGTGTGTGTGTGTGTGTGTGTGTGAGTGTGTGTGTGTGTGTGTGTGTGTGTGAGTGTGTGTGTGTGTGTGTGTGTGTGTGTGTGTGTGTGTGTGTGGTGTTGTGTGGTGTGTGTGTGTGTTGTGTGTGTGTGTGTGTGAGTGTGTGTGTGTGTGGTGTGTGTGTGTGTGTGTGTGTGTGTGTGTGTGTGTGTGTGTGTGTGTGTGTGCATGTGTGTGTGTGTGGTGTGTGTGTGTGTGCGTGTGCGTGTGGTGTGTGTGTGTGTGTGGTGTGTGTGTCCGTGTGTGTGTGTGTGTGTGTGTGTGTGTGTGTGTGTGTGTGTGTGTGTGTGTGTGTGTGTTGTGTGTGTGTGTGTGTGTGTGGTGTGATAGTATATATATATATATATATATATATATATATATATATATATATATTGTATATATATATATATATATATAATATGTATATATATATATATATATAATATATATATATATATATATATATATAGAGAGAGAGAGAGAGAGAGAGAGAGAGAGAGAGAGAGAGAGAGAGAGAGAGAGAGAGAGAGACAGACAGACAGACAGACAGACAGACAAAGAGAGAGAGAGAGAGAGATACAGAAAGAGAAAGAGAGACAAAGAGAAGGATAATAAAGTGAGAAAGCGAAAAAGAGCGACAGATAAGAGACAGAGAAAGAAAGACTGGGAGAGAGATTTGTTTTTGTGTGTTTGCGTGCACGCGCGTATTCTATCGAATGAGGAGGGAAATATCATATAGGCTACATATGTATCAATTTGCTTTCGTGCAATCAGCAGTTTGAAACTGATCCACTCTCTAAAATATTTCTTTTGTTTTCATACGTTTTAACAACTAGCTATATTTAAGTCTACCTTGAAATGTACATATATTAACGTTTTCTTTACTTTCCAGGTATTTAGTTTCTTACCTGGCCGCTAGGTGTCCGTCACCTTTGTTGGTGGTAAAATTACCTGAGGCATCAGAAATCGATGCCACATGTCAAAATATTCAAATATAATTAATCTCTGCGAATCGAAGTCTCATCTAAGAACTATATCGTTTATGCAATAGATATATATAAATCAAACAAATATCATTTTCATTTATATACTCTTAATAAAATGCTAGTGCACGCATAACAGAAACATATAACATCTTCAATCTCCTTCCACCGAATCTGTATAAATAATCTGATATAAAAACAACAGTGTGCATATAGACGAAGCCTCAGACGAACACGCACGCCTCCTCTGCCAATATCTCCTCACCAACTCCGCGAAAAGTGATCGCAATAATGAAAATAAAAAGATCGAGAAAGCAGTCATTGCGGCTTGTGGCAACTCGCACTTCCCGTGGCTCACAAACACTCTGCGACCAGTACTACTCCATAAGTTTTCAAACAATGATCCGCAGTGTCTGATACAGTGTTATTTCGAATTATTATGGCGCCCGTTGTGAGAATTTTAGCTTCTTTGCTCCTGTTTTGGGGGGGTTTGTCGGAAGGTGAGTCTGCTATGGAAAAGAAGTGGTGGTTTGGGAATATTTTGAGTGTGAAGTTTCATGAGGATATTGTGAATGGGAAGGAAGTGGCTATGACTGTGTTACGGAATCACAACAATGGCGAATATTTTCTCCTTATATCCGCTTCCAGTTCCACCTAGAAGGGTCATTCTCCGCCTCAAACTAGCCCTCGTTATAGTGATATCCGACTAGGAAAAGAAATGAAGTAATAAGTGAGTTCAGGAAGATGAACGCAGCCAAGGACACGTGTTGTCGTGAGTCACCTGTTATGTAGAAGTAACCCACCCGCATCAGGGAACTTTGCGTCCCGGGGTATCTGTTTCCCTCACCCATTCACCCTAAGGCCCATGGGGAGCCCTTAGCATAACGGTGCCCTGACTATGGGAATGGACGGTGCTCTGACTATGGCAATGGTAGCGTCAGACAAGTACAGCGACTCCTTTACAGACATTTCGCTTTTAGGGCGTGGCTATAGAACGGTTTGATTTTTATTTATATATATCCCATTTACTCTTAATATTATAGAAATACATATACAGAATTTTCGTGCTGGTGGTTTGGCGCGTAATAGTGCGGTGTTCCGCTTGAAAGGATAAATGCCTTCATTTGGTTATTTGCTTTTCGATTCCGGAATACTGATGTATCTCATTGCTGTATTCTTCTGTAATTAATGGGAACTGTCATAATTTTTAGTATTGATTTTTTATTTTAATGGATGGATCATTTGTTTAGAATTTAATACCTAAAGACGACTAGTAAAGCTGCTACAAAAATGGCATAGAGTGGCGTAATAGCACTAGTTACTTGGATTATGAAAATATAATTGCATTGGTTTGTCATTAAAAATTGCGAAACTTGGAAGTTTCATTTTGAGTAAAAGTAATAGTAACCGGGCACACGTAATGCTTTTTGCAGTGATAGTAATTGTTTTTAAAAATGTGTGTGTGTGTGTGTGATATGTATATATATAAAATCGGTGATGATGATTTATAGAATATAACATTTGTGATATAGATAAAAGTTATTGCAATATAATTAATGGTAATAACGTTACGAATATTGTTTATGGTAGGTGTTTCATACAAAATACATGTAAATGATGACACAATACGGGAAAATTATTACCAATGACATAATGACAACAATGATGACAGTAATGATAATTACTCGGGGTAATATTCTGTAGAAAAGTGCATTTTACTTAATACTAAAGGGAACACCTTTACTCCAAAAAAAAAAAAAAAACTTTAGTTGAAATTTCACTTAAATTCAACTCAGGCAAGTTAACCAAGTCTTGATTTACACAGTAATAGAGAAGTATTTTCATCATTGAAACCCAGCAGTGCATGCAATCGGAATGCGACTAAAATTATAAAATGAAAACTTCAAAAAAACATAAATAAACATGGGCTTTAAGACTTGAAATCGCCAGATCCGACAGTACACAATTACAAACTTTTAAAGAAAAGACAAAGAAGTAAAAATTACACCATAAGCAGTACGTCCAATCCAACCACGAGCTGAACTAAATAACGCAAATTTCACAGCCTAACCACACCTCCCCCCCCCCCCCCCTCCCTCGCGTGACCCAAAAGTCCGTACGTGAAGGAGACGAAGGCGATATCGCTGGCGAAAGGGGTGGGCAAGGGAGGTTGTTTGCGCCTATTTCTTTCTTTTCCCCTTTTCTTTTTTTCCTTTTTCTTTCTTTTTTTCCCTTTTCTTTTTCTTTCTTTCTTTCCTTTTTTCTTCTTTCTTTCTTTTCCCTTTTTTTCTTTTCTTTTCTTTTTTTCTTTCTTTCTTTCATTTTTCCCTTTTCTTTTCTTTCTTTCTTTTCCTTTTTCTTTCTTCTCTCCCTTTTCTTTCTTTCTTTTCCTTTTCTTTTTTCTCTTTCCTTTCTTTTTCCTTTTCTTCTCTTTTTTTTTCTTCTTCTTCTTCTTCTTCTTCTTCTCCTCCTTCTCACCACACACCACCACCTCCTCCTCTCCACCTCCTCCTCCTCCTCCCTCCTCCTCCTTCACCACCACACCACCACCTCCTCCTCCTCCACCTCATTCTTCACCATATTCTAAATACAAGAAGAGATTTGTTTCCTCCTCCTCCTCTTCCTTCTTCTTCTTTCTTAATACAAAAAAAAGCCAAGATAAACTTCCGGCCTGCCTCTACCACGTGGAAAAGTCCAGAAATCGTTATCCACCGCTACGTCGCCGAGAGGTATTGATTCGAGGAAATTAACGTGGATATGCTGGCACCAGTATGACTTCGTTTCACCTGCAAAAGGCAGTATATTTACGTGATGTTAAGCGCGTGCAGCCCCCGAGTCAAGGT